GTTGTTAAATGCTTTATAGCGTGACTCACCAACTGATAGCTGCATATTAATGGAAAGTGGACGGGGCTATCACACTCACAAGTGCTGCATTGTTGAGGGGAGCTGGTTGAGCTGATTTTTATAAACAGTTGCCCTCAGAAGTTTGGTCAAGAGCATTTGGATTCTTTCTCAAAGTACTGATTTTATGGGGTGAAAACCTGCTAACCTTGCTCAAAAGATCAAAATCTTTTAAACCAGAACTTAGACCTTAGTTTCTGAAACAAAACAAAACAACAAAAGAAAGGAGCTCAGCAGTTAATTATGTTTATTTTTTTGGAATTAATTTCTGAGCTGGGTGATGCTTCTACTTACTAACTGAAATTATCTAGGGGAAATTAAAATGTACTTATGATGCTGATATCAGCATATGATATATTAGCTGTTAATCAAACCAGCCAGAAGGCATTCTTGCCTTGTCTTGGTATGAGTTATGATGAATTTTAGATAGAAATGTGTTTTGCCCACTTTCAAAGTCTTAAGGAAATCTTTCTAGAGCAATATGATTGGATTGGATTCAATTCAGGTATTACTTAAAAATCCTTGCTATGAGGTTTTTCGATGAAGCACTCTGCGTATCACTTATGTCAAGAGCTGGAAAACCCACTGAAAGCATGCCACACATTTCATGAAATTACAAGGACCATAAAACAGGCCTAAACCACAAGACCATGCAAATTACTGCAAAGACAACCAGCCATCATTTTTAAAGCACTGATTTCATTGCCTTTATCTTGCGTTTGTTTAGGTTGCTTTTGTTTGCCTTGGAATGGCAAAACAGCCTTAATGGAAACCCTGCCACTGAAGTGACATCAGCAGCACCGCTACGGCTTGCTGTAGTTCATGTGAATAAAAATAAGCCTAATATCACTAGAATAAAATTACAGACCTTGTTCTCTCCAGCCCCTGCATTGCACAGACAGACTGGGGCCCAAAGGGAATAGCCTCTGATGGAGAGAGTCGGACAGAAGGTGCAGAGTTTAATCTTTTTCCCAGGATCTGCAAAGAGCCAAACTCCACCAAGTACCCAAAATACACCAGACAGGGGGCAGCCCCTTATTGTCCTCTGATTTTTCATCGCCTATGCAGGAATTTCACTTATCTAAACTTGCTGTCTGGATTTAGGGGCATCCAAGCAAAGGGGGTGGTTGGAAAACAGCAGTCTGGGGCAATGCCAGAGGCTCCCAACAAACCCAGGAGAATTTTAACATTCCCCTGCTTCTCCCATGAATAATCAAACCTTATTTAAACTGTCTGGGGATTATTTTTTTCTCCTTCAATTCCCACTAAGCCTTAGTAAGTATAGTGAGATTCCAGTGGGATCTTTAGCAGAGTAAAGTACTATTTATGCCACAGCCAACCACACAGCGTCTGGTGGCAAAGGTTGGAGAGACACATGTGGTGTTCACAGGATGTTGCAAGGTGGTTCTATTTACTCAGATGTCTGCTTGCACTTTGGCCGTGGGGGTAACATAGGGGAGATACGGAGACAGAAAACCTGGTGCAGGTACCAACTTTCTCCGGTGACCACTGAACCAGCAGCCTGCTCCTAAATCACTGCCTGCGACCAGTGCTTCAGGGAGGGCTGGAGCTCCTCTTGGGCTCTGGGTTTTGGGTGCAGAGACTCCACCTCTCTGGCAACAGTGCAGATTTGATTCACAGAATCACAGAATCACAGAACGATATAGGGTTGGAAGGGATCTCTGGAGATCATCTAGTCCAACACCCCTGCCAAAGGAGGTGCACCTAGAGCAGGTTGCACAGGGACATGTCCAGGAGGGTTTTGAATGTCTCTAGAGACAGAGACTCCACCATCTCCCTGGGCAGCCTGTTCCAGTGCTGTGCCACCCTCAAAGTAAAGAGGTTCTTCCTCATGTTTAGATGGAACTTCCTATGTTCCAATTTGTGCCCATTTCCTCTTGTCCTATCAGGTACCAGGTACCACTGACAGTCTTATCCTGAGGCTGCAACTGTACAACTGTGCACACACATTTGCCTGCACATCCAAGTCACTTCATGCAAGTCAATGAATTTACCCAAGATGGTGAAGTATACGTTAACGTGTTTGACAAAAGTTTGCAGCGTCAGGATTTCAGTACGACTCTAGTCATCCGAACAAATGTGAAAAAAGGAAACAAGCTGGTCAGCTCAAATACAAATTTGCCTTAAACTGTCCTTAATTTGCCTTTATTTTCATCCAGCTATTGCCCTTCTTGAAAGAAAAGAGAAAAAAAACTTGCCTCTGCTGTCTTTTAAAACCAAACAAAATCTGCGAACTCTACAGGAAAGAGCAGCAAAAATAGAGGGGCCAGAGAAACTGATTAATGAGGAAAAAAATACATAGAGCTTGGTGAAGCGGTGGCTCACAGGCAGTGTGATAAGTCTACAAATATTTGCAGGCTGTAAATACCAAGGACAGGAATTTAGTATGACAGAGTCAGGCACAAGCAGGACTAAAAGGAGAGGAAAAAAAAAATAAATATATATATATATGTCCTGGGAGTTGAGGAAAAAGGCTTGCCAGTGAGATGCAATAGACCTGGGAATTAATAGATGGCACACATATCCTGTGAGGAGCCGCGCTGTGTTGGTAAGTAAATAAGCTGAGAGACATGACAGGGCTGTTCATCTTGAACTGCTGTGGTAAGGTGACTTGTTAAATCTCAGCCATTAGTGCATATATGCTTAGCTTTCAAGAGCTGGCTTGGCTGGGTGTTTAACTGAGGCTGGCAGGCTGAGTTTCCCAAGCCTGATGCAAATTTGGGCCAGCTGTGCTACCCCTCTGTGGCTATGACCTGGATGGACAGGAGGTGGGTTAAGGCAGGTCTCAGGTGTGCCAGCGCGGATTTGTAGTCCCGCTTGTCACTGCCAGGTGGGTATGAGGCTGGATGGGGCAGAACTGTCTCTTTTGGAGGTTTCATCTCACCTAGGATCCAAAAAAGGAACAATGAAGCCAGATCCTTTCAAAGCTTGTGGAAAGCCAGTGAGGATGTTGGGGTAACAGAGCCACAGGCTGATCCCTTGGCCCTACAGGGGAGGTTTTTGCTCAGGTTCCTCTGCATCAGCCCGGTAAAGTTTCAGACTCAGCAGAAATACCCATTTTATGAGGTTCAACATTTTTTCCCTCCACCTCTCCCTCCAGAGTGCTGCTGGATGGTGCATCTTCTTCAGCAGCAGAAGGGGGTGAAGGTTTGTCCCGCTGTGCTGCGGGGTGCAGCCCTAAGGAGAGCCAGGCAGGCTGACCCAGCTCCGAAGCCCTGCCCAGCCCCGGGATGGGGATCAGGCAGGAAAACCTCTGGCCAGCCTTGCCCTGGCCTCTCCCAGCTCGGACACCTCTGAACAAAATGTTCCCAAGCTGGGAACTGGAAACAAGTTTGCTCCTTGTTGCGGAGCTGAAAAAGACCTTACACACCCCAAAGACAGTCCCTCTCGCTCCTCCCCGCCCCGCCGGCGGCCGATAAAAGAAATTACTTCCACTACAGCTCTTGGCTCTTACTAACGGAGAGTTATTTCCTGCTCGGGGCGCGCTGGCCTCGGCCTCTGGAAATGGGAAATTCCACCCTGAACCCAGCGGGAACTTATTTCACTGACCGAAGCCCGTCCTGTCTCAGTGTCTTTCTGCAGGAGTTTGTCCTCTGAGAAACCGGTGGGTTCTGGGGGTGGAAAAAGGAGCTTTGTCAAACTTTTTAACCAGCCTGATTGTATCCGCCATAGGAAAAGCATTAGAAAATGAGCCTCTAGTGAATTACTAACCTACTAAAGCAGAATGTAGAAGCAAAATTAATTTAATTTAATTCAATCAGCAAGTTATTCACAGACTAGAGCTAGCATTTTTCATTACAGCCAGTCCACTCTAACCTGCACCCTGTCTGCAAAAGTAAGGCTATTTGATCAAATAAATCTACTACTGTGAATTAATAAAGCCAGCAGTGAGATTATGTGAGATGGGAAGGCCTTTAGGTCTCGTACTTGGGCTGGAAAAAGGCACAGCTTTTGCACTGGTGTGTTTACTGGTTTCCCTTCCCAGCGTGTTGTGGCTTGCCGGTACGCTTCCAGGAGTGAAAACAAACCTACGGATGTTAGTTCATCCCGCTGGCTGTGACGGAGGGTCTGGGTTTTGACTCGGCGCACCGCGGTACCGCTGCACTTTCCACCCGCGTTGACGTTCCCCACGTTCTGCTCACCCCAGGGTCTGCTCCGGGGCTGGGCACCCGACGAGCCGGGACGCTGTGGGGCTGTGTCTCTAAATGCAGTTTCCAAGCAAGTTCGAATTTAAATGTCATCGGGTTAAGCGGATGCGAGGAGAAAAGGACCTCTCTGACTGACAGGCAGGAGCAAGAGCTGGACGCGGGGAGCTGGCGGAGGCAGAGGAGGAGCAGGAGCCTGGGGGCAGCTGGTGGTGGAGCGAGGGGAGAGAGCGAGCTTTGGGGGAGAAGGGAAGGCAAGCCAGGTGAGGCTGACCCACTGGGGCCAGAGCGCTGTGACAAGGGGCTGGCGATGCCCAGGGCCTTTCCAGAGGCACCGTTTTGCAGGGCTGAGGTTTGGAATAAAAAGCCATAAATGCGGTTGGGATAGCAACTCGGAGAAAAAGTGAAGAAGCGTTTAATGCAATGAATGGCAAAGGGGATTATTTTTAAGAACAAGGCCCAGAGGAGCAAGGCGCAGGGTCTGGTGTCCGTATGGTGGCCACCGAGGTGGTCTGCACCAGGCTCTGCCTTTGCTCCCACATCCAAGGTGGTGCTCCCCGGCCGGACCCCAGCTTCTCCTCCCGGGGGGGGCTTGGGGCCAGCAGCCCTGGCCGGGGCACCCCCAGCCCCCCGTTTCGCTGTCACCCGGCGTGGTCTGGCAGCCGTGTCCCACGGAGCAGATGCTGCCCGTGACGGCTTTCCACATGTGCTCCCAGGGTCTGCCGATTGGTGTGCTCCGCAGAAGGGGCCGGGCCTCGAAGTCCGCTCCTGTGCCTGTGACAGCTGAGACTTTCACGCAAGAAAACAAAACCAGGATATCTGATGGACTGCATTATCTTTCCAGACAGCTTGGAGCTACAGCTGCAAAGTTTTGTGCTTAGACTTCAAAACTGTGAGTGGAATTTAAACATCAGTTGTAAACGCCTACCTTTTTTTTCTTTTTTCTTTTTTTTTTTTTTTGGTGTGCAACTTTGCATAAGTATATATATCTGCATAATAACTTTTCATTATCAAGCAAGCTGTTGCGAATTCTCGTACGATGAAATAATTACTGCTTTGGAAAACTTCACAAAGTGCTAGCTGCGTTTGTGGCTGCACTAATAAATGTGTACTGAGGAGAAGGAGGATGCTCTTTTCAGTGAAAGCAATTAGTCTAGCTGGAAATGGTTTCAAATTATCTGTTCCACTGGAAAATGGGTTTGAGCAGGACTAGTTGTGCTGAGGGTGAATGTCCTGGGAGTTATCAGCAAATGTCAGGCTGGTCTGTGTGTCTTTGTCAGGGGCGTCACTTGATGTTTGCTTGTGTGTGGAGAGGGATCAGGTTAAAACCTGCTGTTACCATTGTGTGGCACTGCGCTCGCTGGATGAAAAATCTGTCGGTACCAGGTGTTAGCAAGCTGGCCAATTAATGATGATTGCGGGAAATTAGTTTAAGAGAGTATTGTCCACTCTGGTGCAGATTTATAGAAATAAATTTAACGGGTACATAGCACAGGAGGATCATTCTTGTAGCTGGAACATTAACAACCTGCTCTTTCTTGCATGTGTTTGAATAGGAATAATGAAATGGTTTTCTCTGGGAGAGCTCTAGGGGCTGGTACCCAGGTCAGGAGTCCAAACCTGATCTGGCAGTTTGTGACTCCAGGCTTTTGATATTTTCACTCTCCTGTGGGAACTGTCCAGGATGGTCTAGAATGAGCTCTGTTATCCTAGGACATTATTTTATATACAATCTTGAGCTAAAAGAGCTATGCTGGAACTTTTCTCGATTCACTTAGATAAAGTTCGTAAAAGCTGAGATACATCCTTTAAAAAAAAAAAAAAAATTGTTTCGAATCCTGTCTGTATTGTTCCACAGCTCTCTCCAGCTACCCAAAACAATCCAACATCCTTCCCAATTTAACACATATTTTCCTTAGAAAGCAAGCAACTTCAAGTTGCACGCAAGTGCATTGCGTCAGTTTATGCTTTTATATTCTGTTGGGTCCAGGTGAAATCCAAAGGTGATATGAAAAGAAAAATCAGTGGCATGTTATGGCTAAGTATGGCAGAAATCCCATCCCCGGTCCATCCACCACCACTCGTTCTCCATCTGGGCTCCTCCAGATCACGCAGCGACACAAGCAGCATCCAGATGAGGTGTGGGCACGCGAGTGCATTTCTGCTGCATTAGTCAGAGCACGTAACATGGGATGTATACCAACTCTGTGCAACCTGCGATGAGGCAATTCATTCCACTGCTGGGTACAAAGTAAATGTCAGTATTTCTTTAACAAATTAACTGCTAGAGTAAGTCTATACCATTTTGCTCCTCTTACATTATTGGTTGCAGAGGTTTTGTTACAGCACTGGGGTCCCTGAAGTTAGACTTACACTATCATCAAGCCGTAGCCTGAGTGAATCTGAACTTATTGGAAATTTATCATCAAAGCGATGATAAATTTCTCTTGCCTTCATTCCTTTCCTCTATCTTTTGTTGCTCACTACAGCAGGGACACCCCGGATTTGTCCACCAGACCAAAACACAGTGTTTTTTCCCAAAGCTGAATTTGGCACTGACAGAAAAATGCTCTGAGAGAGAAAACATATTTCAGCCAGAGAGGCCTTCTTAATTGATGTGAAGGAAATCCTAAATGGAAGACGTGTTAACCCAACCTGCTAGTACATGTATAATGAATTAGTGTTCTGCGTTGAACAAATTGCAATATTTTTATTTCAATATTGTTAAAATCAAACAATTTTCTTTCCATTTTCTAAAATAGAGAAGGAGGGTTAAAATCAAAATATAGACACATACAGAAATGCTTTTCAGTGGCCTGTCCTTCAAATGCTGATACAGTCCTTAAACTAAAGGGTCTCTATATCCTTATAATATTTCGTATTTATGTGATGTAGTTTGGTTCTTCTTGTTCCCTTAATTTAACAGTCTTTTCTCTATTAGATAGTGCTACCTATATAGAATGGGCCAGATTCTCAGCTAGGCAAGCGTGAATAAAGAATAGCTTCATTGAAGTCAATGACATGACCCTGGGTTCATTCCAGTGTGACCGGAGTTGGAATGTGGCTCCATGCATGCAGCTGGCACCCTTGCCAGGCCGGGCGAGGAGGTAAAACAAGAGCTACTGCAGCTGGGCATGTTGCTAGCAGGAGGATGGCTGTGGTCCTGCTAGCTTCTAGTTGTGTTTTCACCTCCACCTTCTTCCAAAAGAAAAGATTAAACAGCACAATTTCACTTCTATTCTGCCAACTTCAGTTACGTCTCTTCAAACTATGCATGGTTTTGCAGAAAGGTGCTAAGTCCAACTACTTGCCGTCGTACCTTGTCTAACCCTTTGACAAATACCTCAAGCAATAAAGTGCATGTGTACTCTATTTTCTTTCCTCCTACTCAGAAAGATTTTTGGTTTTCATTAATAATTTTTAGGTTGCTCGTTACTGCTGATGTTGTTTTGGGAAGCTTGGCTTCTTGCTGTGAAAGTACCGCTCTCTGTGATACTCTGGAACCTCCTGGAAGCTGCTTCCCCATTCCTAGAGCAAGTTCTGTTTCCGCCTCTGTTTTGTGATGATAACCACACTGTTCCCATGGCCACCTACCCAGCAAAATAACTCCCAGGTCTTTGCCGAGGAGAGGCTAATGAGATTATTTTGTACTATAGGTGGGGCTTCCTTATGACCGCTTTGATTTCCCTGCTCTGCACGCTAGGACAGTCCAGAGCTGCTGCCCTAAAGAGCGAAGAGGTTTTGCTATCTGCAGGCTCTGTCCTATCTCCTGAAATTCATCCCAAAGGCATAAATTGGCTGCTTTTTAGATGGGAGAGCCAGCTCCATACTGCTATTGCTGGTCAGAAATGGCTGGTTTATACCTCTCTTACTGCAGCTAAAGAGCTGAAATTCTAAGTCCTGTGATATTTTTACCAATAGGCAATTCATCTCTGCTAGTTGGAAATGCCAAAACTGCAAAAGGATCTTAAGGGGAGGACTCCACACAAGGTCTGGGGTGAGGCTGGTTTCCTGGTTACTCTGAACAGGAAACAAAAACAGAGTATGTTCTGATTTTAAGGAGTTCATTAGAGGCACTACCTGCTGTGTGGATTTCCAGGGACACTCAAGTCTCTAAACATTCAGCATCACCGAGAAAAAAAAAAATACCAACAAGGCCAACAGGCAGGGAAGTGCCTGTTCTTCTTTGGCGCTTCACAAGTTCCTAGAATGAAGTGTGCTCATATCTACCACTGAAGTAGGGATTAGATGAAGCTAAGGCCCCACCGAACTGCAGCTAAAATAGTTTCTTTTGAAGTACTTTTTATCATTACTCAGATATTTTTGTGCTATGTAGGCATGTTCTCAATAACAGCACTCCATAAGTCCAAAATAACTTACTAAATTCCATCTGCATGGGCACAAGGCTTACCTGTAACACAAAATATGCATATGATGTATGCAGCCTAATTAAAAAACTTTTATAGACATTTATAATGTCTTATCACAATTTTAAAGTTTTATAAAATCTTACCTTTTATAAATATTTATCATTCTGTTGCATCTGGTGCTGCTGACAGGAACATATCACAGGCTGTTATTTTGGAATAAGTAGGAAAGCAGAAAAATCTGCCTGATATTTTTATTTTTAAAATGAATATTCTGCTCCCACATACGCATTCATAAGATGGGGATATTTGTCGTGCAGTGAGTCAATAAGGGCTATGAAAGGGATGGAGCAGAAGAAGAGAAGCAGTGGCTTAGAACGTACAAAAGAGCCTGCAAATTTAAGGAGATTTGTGGACATAAGAGATAACACCTTGGCTGCAACATTGCTAATATCACTGTTTTTTCAGGCCTGAGAAGTATCACACTGTAATCTCACAAAATCTTTGTGAAATTGGGGCCTTTGAGTCACCTGAGAGAAACTGTCCAGAAGCAGTGTGTGAAAGGAAGGGAGTTACAGGGCAAGGGAAAGCACTGAAAAAACAGGCTTGTGCTCATATGACACAAAGGCTTCTTGAACCTGAAAATGAGAAAGCACAAAAGCTGGCGAGGGGAGAGATGAGGGTATGAGTAAGAGTCATGTACCTCTGATGTTGTTTTTTACCCTTTGTGCTATGTGTTTCATGCCTTAGGGTGAATGAATAATATTCTGTTTTGAAGACAAATTAAGTTAACTTAATTAATGCATAATACATTGTTTTGAAGACAAATTAAATTACCTTAATTAAATTGCTGGTTGTGGGTTGTCAGAAAAGGAGGTGAATTCATGTGCCAAAGGTAGGAGCATCATTTGGGTTCATGCTGCTGGACGGGGGATGTGCAGGGCAGGAGAGAGGTGCACTGCTGAGCAACTGGGACCACAAGCTCTCCGCCTCTCTCCAGAAAAATTAGAGGGATCCCAAATGCAGTTGCTCCCAAAACCTTTACAACCACAACTGGATTTTTCAACATTTAAAGCCCAGCTGTTTCAGTTCTACTGCGTTATGTCCTGAAATGATAGCACTGTGAAGGTTGTATCTGTCCATCACAAAAAAACCTACCTTTTTCAACAGTTTACAAAACAAGATGTTGGTCCTTCTATGAATAAAGGGCTAAGAGCCTTTTCCCTAGCATAATATTGCAGTGATGCAAATGGAGGAATTAAGTCTATTTTAAACAGGGGGCATTTAAAGACATAGGTTGTGAGGAAACCAGTGGGACTGACTCTAATATTTCAGAGTTTAGCCAAAGGAAAAAAAAAGTCTGAAAATAATTTTAGATATTGTCTGTCATCATCACAAGCTGAAACTTTAAAAATTCCACTGTATATCTTTATACCTTGATACATATCTTTATACATTTATATCTTTACACCTACCTTCATGTCTTCATACCTATCTTTATTAACCAGCAGAATTTAGGCCCTCC